TATACCTGACTGACATTAAGCTATCGTTAAGGTAATGAAGTTGCATTTTACCTTGCCTTTATCCACTATTCTCTAATCTTAGGTGTTCAAATCATTACCTCCATGTTGTCGCAGTCTGTTAATTGCTATCCGACCGCTTTTTACTAAATTTTACAATGGCAAAGCAGACAACAGTAGCCTAATTGCTTTCTTTGGGAAGAAGTCTATATTAAATAATCCATAAGAGTATGTGCATCAAAAGCCTGTGTATATACCAAAAAAGGCTTAACATTTAAATAAAAAAATACAATGTAAAATACATAAACCATGTGACTTTAACAGCCACAGAAGCTTCTGTTCCAAAGAAACAAATGAAAAATAGCCCCATTCAGATCTGATGTTACCTTCCTCACATTGACACATTAATAGAAAAGTTATATTTCTATTGAGTTTTCTACATGTGTTTTCACTATTTTCTTGTCGCTTAATGGGTTTTAGAAAAGACATTTGGCACTTTTGCTTATCTCGACGACTCAAATCCTTAAAATCATACGACTGCAGCAAATGGAACCAAACAGTTTTCCCATTTTCATTTGCTGACTCATTTGCAATACTTTTGGATACAAACCTGACAAATGACATTGTCTGAAAGCCTGTTGTGCTTGCACTCTAATATTTAGAAAAGAAAAGAGGATGTTGCATGTGTGTGTTACTATAAATGTGCAAGTGGGTGTGCGGAGCTGCTTCCCTTCATCCACGTATATAACATCCTGTGCATGATTTTGGGTGTTTGGGTGAGTCAGCACTGTGATCATGGTGGGGTGAATCACATGGTGGTTGTGGTGTTGGTTGGAGAATAGACTGGAAGCTACAATGAATTTCAGTTAAGCTCCTAAATGCAAAACATATGTTCAGTGCATTGTTCTTTGTACTTGTTCAAATGTAAACGATAATCCCAGCATGACTGAAGCGTTTCCAAATGTATTTAATTTCCAATCCCCTTAATGTTAATTCTGATGGTCTTTACCAAACATCTAAGTGCTCATTTAATCCTGAAAAACAGCTTGAGAAACTTTGATTGTGGTCAGTATAATGCCACCACAATACAATAATAAGTGTTGTATAAAGTTACAAAAGAACATTGATATCAGGCCATTTACTCTCACATATGAGAAACCCCTGGAAACTGAATTCATTCCACTTTTTGCTTCTCTAAATCTGGCGCTTCTCTCTCTGACACTGAACAACATGTTCTGTCAGTTTCAGACTATTAAAGTTATATATCTCCTGGCAGTCTTTGCATCTGCAGCAAAGCCAAGTGAGCCTGTGGGAAAATAACTGTGGTGAACATCTTTATGATAAACTATGATATAAATATTAAATATATTCTGCAATTTAAGCTTGTCAATGTATGTATTATCACCATACGGTGGGAAGATGTCGAAAAAACTGAGCATTTTCACATGGATTTTCCTCTGAACCGAAGCATTAGGAAAGCTCAGTGCGATGGAAAATGTGTACATCAGAGGTAATGTTACATGTAATGCCATGAGTAACAGGGAAACTCTTTACAACATGTGTGAGCTGGCCACCCGCTGGGCTCCTGGGGATCATGACAGTATATGACTACCAGCAGCAGATGGAAAGAAACCGCTGACAACCAGATGTGAAGCTCGCAGCCAGAGCATTTTTAAAGCATTACTGAGACTCCTGCTGGAATTAGGCTGGTTCAAATCTGGCACATGAACAGTTTTTGTAAACCAGGACCGCCTTAATAAGCACCTATTAATAATGACTTCGATGCGATTGCCTGACATCAACTGATGTCAGGGACATCAACTGATGTCAGGCAAAACAAGACAGACTAATTATTAGGTGTAGACATTTCTGATTGGGAATATTAAACAGGTAGCCACAGCCAAAACTTAAAAGACTTAAAAATCCATATTTTTAACCATTAGGTTCTTAGTGCTATTTAACAAAAATCTAAATTGTTTTGGTAGCGTGCGTTGGAGATTCTCTCGAATATAATAATTATCTTTCTAACAAATTACACCCTCTAAACTTATTATTGCTCAGTAGAAAAGCGTACATTTACACAAGGACAAGATGTTTGGTACAAAACAAATAGTTCCTACATGAAATAGATATTTCCAATGAGGAATCTGCAACAATCTGCCACAGCCGAGAATTAGGGGGACAGTTCACCCAATATTCATATGTTTAACTTGTACCTGTTGTGCTACAATCTAAATCGTTTCGGTGTAAATTGGAGAGTGGATACTCTCACAAATAATAATGGCAATCAAAAAATATACATTGTAAAAACTCAAAAGTAATGTGTCTTTCCAGAAATAAGGCCCAATTAACTCAAGATATTAAACAGACCTTGTTATGAGCAATTTCATGTAGGAACTATTTTCTCTCTGACAAACTACAACGCCCACCAGCTCACCTCGAAGAAGCAAGTGTGCATCTACTTGAGAAGGCTCATGCTCCGTTTGGTAGAAAGACAAATTACCAAACATTTCCTACAAAAAACAGCTCACAACATGATCTGTGGATGTCTTGACTCTGCAGGTCATGATTCCTGGAAAGAGACATTGCTGTTGAGTGTTTTTAGATGGACTTGTGCCATCATTATATTCGAGAGAATCCAGTCTCCTACATTTTGCAATTTACACCATAACAATTTAGATTGTTAAATAGCAAAACAGGTAAGAGGGTTAAAATGTGGATATTTGGGTGAACCGTCTAATTTCTTTATATATATGTTTTGCAAAACAAGCCTAGTGCCATGTAGTTCCATTATATTTGAGACTAGGAAGACATCTCCTCGACCGATATCCTCCGACACTGAAACTCAAAACAGAAACAATGTAGATTGATAAATGGCACTACATGTAAGAGGAAAAATACTTATTTTGAGGTAAACAATCCCTTTAACGCTCACAGTTAATCATCTCATAAACGCGATTCAGATACATAAGGCAGCTGGATGAGAAAAACAAGCTGTGGCGTCTGTTGGACTGGAGAAGACAACATCTTCGCTCTCGCAGCATTTCCCTGGAGAGGCACAGCGGGACACCACTAATGACATCTGTAGCCCCGGCCTGCTGTGATGACACATCCAAAGCTATGCACAATGTTTTTGGTCCAACACAAGTTAGAACATAGAAATGCTGCCATTGTCATACTATAGTTTCTGGCTCATTCTATTCTGGATCAAAGTGCTGCTCTCCCCTCTCTCAGGCGTGGTGCCTGATATAGCATCAGTTGGCGCATATGCGTCACCCTTAGGCTGGTCAACTCTGCCGTGCCATGCCACACACACACACTGACGGAAACACACACAAGGGGAGAAAGAACAGAAACGCAGTGATTAACCAGTTGAGGGGAATGCATGTGGCCCAGGGCGACCAGTTGAATGTGAGGAGTCCGTGGGGGTACAGAACTGAGCGCTGGTTGACAATCTGACAGGCGGGCAGGCTGGTGGACTGACTGGCATAGTGGCTGTGTGAAGTGCCCCGAGGTGATGGAGGATGCAAGCCCTTTCTTCTAAAAAGGTCATGGGTGCAGATCTAGAGTGTCTTAACAGCAAAACACATTTGGACAAACCGGTGTTGACGTATTCTGAGACTGACTGATCCTCCCGTTATGTCATTGCATTACTAATTAATGTGTCATCCTTATTGCAGTTATTCCATGCAGAAAATAATAACACCCTGAAGTGTCATACTGTAAACTCTCTAATGAGTCCCTGCTGGACTATTATAGTGATATTACAGTGATTTTTCCTTTAGAGGATTTTCCAACAAATACAAGCCATCCTTAATGTGACTTTGTGCTGTGGAGACGCCGTCAGGTGAGACAAACAGTGGTACCAGAAGAAGCGAGTGAGTCACTGTGAAACCTGCGGAGGAGACAGATGATACAGTGCAAGGCTCAGAGTGACTGGCAGGGGCCACAGTGTATCATGCTACACCACAGCCGGTTATCTACTGGTTGCACTGTGGCAGAGGAGTAGGCTCTACTTGAATGGCCGGCATCTTTGGGAAGAAGGGGAAAGCGCGGCACACTTGCCAGGAACAACTATGTCCAATTTCTGTAGGGGCAAGAGCCAAAGGGCTTGAGAGACCACGCGGGCAAATGTACGATTTTGGAGAATTTAAATTGCAGGGATAAGGTTGTGATTTTTTTTTTAGGGGAAGCCAATTCCTAAATGCTCAATAAGCAAAGCATGGCATTACATCCCCTCTACTTTTGAAGGAGCACAAGCCATCTTTAACTTAATTTATTCATTATATGCAAGTCTGTATTTTCGCTTTGGCTCCACAATCATAACCATCTTGACCTTTGCATCTCATGCTGCCACTAGCAATCAAACTGTTTGTGTTTTCACAGACAACAGAGGACTCTAATCTTTGTACGCTCATCAAAAACAACTCTGCAAATTGGGTTATGTTTCAATTTGGCCTCGCTCAAACAGTGCTGCTGAGCCATGCAGCTAATGTATTTGACTTGAAATATCAAATAGACCATGACAGGTAAGGGCTACAACCCCAGCCAGGGAATCTGCTATTAAGGCACCCTCTCACCTAGCATCTTAAGGAAGGATTCACCCTGGTTTGCTATCATCATTCTGCACTGGAGTGAACTACGCTCAGTTCAGATGTCATGCCCTGCTTATTTGACATTTTAAGCTGGAGTCTGGGCTTCAAACTGCGCAATGTGGCTCCTGTCTTCAGCGAGCATTCAGTGGAGAATGCTCGAGAGTAAACAGGGCTCGCTTGCATCTGTCTTGCTCAGACACCCTATCATTTCCTACGCTGCAGCCTCCGTTCAAGTGACAACAGTCACACATTTATTCATTTTGAGGCCCCGGTCGTGGGCTTTTCTCCCAAACGCGAAAACTGGAGATGTTCTGACCTGCCTGCCAATCCCTCAAGGCTTAAGTCCCCGGCGAGACACAGTGTCTTTTTTAGCGGTGATATGATAAGAATACATCGCGTCTGTCTTACCGGCTGCTGTATGTGGCGAGACGACCCCTTCCCGGGCGGTTGAAGATGCTGCCGCTGCCGCTGCTGGAGCCCATGCTGGAAATAGTCGCTGCCAGCGGCTTTGTTGCCCGCGACCCGGTCCCTCTTCTCCCGCACGTTGGAGCCTCCGTTTTCCCGGTCTTCGCCGGAGTCGAGGCTGCTGAAGTTCCACACTATCAGTGTCTGCACCAGCAGCACAGTGAGGGCAGCTATCAGGGCGGACCGAGACCGGCGGGCCAACCTGCGAGCACACAAGCCGCCAACCATCTTCGCACCGGGGCTGCACGGAGCTGGAGGAGCGTCTGTGGCTGTGCGCAGCGCGACGGGAGGAAGGAGTGGAAGTATAGGGAGGGAGGAGGATGGGGAGGGGGTGGTGGGTTGAGGAGGGAGGAGGGAGGAGGGAGGAGGGAGCGAGTCTGAGCTTTTGACAGTGGCGGAGGCGATGAGGAGCATCGAGAAGGAGAGGCACAGGGCCACCGTGTGGTGGAGCTCGGTGAGAGGAGGTCTGCGATGCTGCAGGCTACTCTCTGTTCTGTGTGTGTGAGAAATTAGACTCCAACGTCTTTTTTTTCTCCAAGAGGGGATTCTGATAATGACAAAATACCTGCAAATGTTGAAATTGCATTGCTTAATATCATTATTACAAGGCAGCAGGAGCCTATTATTGGGCCTCCAGGATTCTAGAAACATGCTGATCCCTCCCAACAGGGGCGTAGCCAGGATTTATGGGGCCCCTGATGTGATATCGCCCCGGGCACCAAATAACTAATTTAAACAACCCAAAGGATTTTTTTGTACAGCTTCTCTAACTTTGGAAATATAATTTCTATTTTACAACCTACTGACTAGATCCCAAATGGAATCCAAAAGCAAAAACTATTTGCTTTGCTTTCTTCCAGAATGTAAGCTACAGCTTAGTGGTATGAATTCAGAGATAACCCCCCTGGCCGGGTGTACTTGGTTTTACTCTTACTCCTTTGCAGGTAAGTGTTAAGAGGGCAATCACCCCTCATGCTCCGAGCCACTATGAAAGTCCAAATTAAATGGAAACTGAACAATCTGGTGCCACTAAATGTTTTTAAAGCTCGGTTGGATGCTACTCAATCGGAAGCTATTGGTACCTGTTTATGTGGATAATTATGTAAATGATGCTGTATGATGTCCGTTTGTTGTTCTATTTATGTTTTTATGTTTCATGTGGAACTACTTGAGCAGGTCTCCCTTGAAAAAGAGATCAATGATCTCAATGGGATTTATCTGTATAAATAAAGGTCTGAAATTAAATTAAATGAAAGTTGCTACTTCAGTCCTCTTGGTACATTTCTCTCTTGTTAGATGGTTTATACAGGCCATTGTTGGTGAAACACATATATAAATGAATGGACAACCGTAACTGTAAAAATGCCATAATTTCAAAGATTAAAGATGAACATTTGCAGGGCAAAAAGCTGTATTTTCTATAAAATTATATAGAATAAATTGGTTAAATTAGGAAAAAGGAATGAAAATAAACAAACACATCCACATGACACCACATACGTTGCTGCTTGCCATGTATAGCCTGCAATGGATGAACTTATCAAATCATGATTTGCCATTGGATTTGGCAATACGAATGTACTTGAGAAAAATTGAGAAAAAATACTTGCTCAACTTGCTCTAGTAATTTGCCTACTACTTGCTGGAAATGTGTGTGTTTATAAATAATTCTCAAGTCTTTCTCTGACGTGGGAAGATTTCAAGTCTATTTAAGCCCAACACCTTAAGTAAAAGTGGTAAAAAGCTTCTATGGCAGAAATACACTTCAACAAGAAAATAGTTGTATTTTTCTTTTACAGTAGGAGGAGGAAGTTAAGCTGCCATTTCCTTCTTCTTAATAGGAAGTTCTAAAATAAACTTGCAGTTGTATCCAAACATGTGACTCAAGTACTGACAGCAAGGACTCCTGAGTGCTGTAAAAAATAAGGACTAAAGAAGCACTGAATCAGCAAATGCAGGCCTCCAAGGGTTATGTGTCAGGGATGCATCACAACATCCATCATGGTTTAGTGCAGTGGTTCTCAACTGGTGGGTCGCCAACCAAAAGTGGGTCACGGACCCGTTTCGAGTGGGTCATAGATGTGTGAGTGAAAAAGAAATATATACAAAATAATGGGAGCTATCTACCCTTATCCACAATTTAAAGTAAGTCACACACAGACTATCTCCTTTTTGCTCTTCTCTCTGTGTGGAGCAGCAAGTGCAGCTGTCAGAACAAAGTGAAAAACAAACAATGGCATCAAATATTAATATGTTGAGTAGTAATAGATTTATTTATTTTCTTCTCAGAGTGTACCAGAATGTGTAGTTTATATGTTAGTATTTCTAAAAATCTCCTGGGGGAGAATCCCCCCAGACCCCCCTGCTGAGGTTGGGTTTTCAGCATGTGTGCCTTTTTATGTTATACAGTTCAGCTTTGATTCCATCATCTCATTAAACATTTTTTTAAAGCATTCTTTAGTTTTGTGAAGGGATATAAGGGATATGTCCTTCACTGCAAACATCGCTGCTACAACCCGTTGCTGCAGATACACGCTTTACAACATCAGGAAGATACGTCCCCAGCTGACACAGAAAGCGACTCAGGTTCTGGTCCAGGCTCTCGTCATCTCACGCCTAGACTACTGCAACTCCCTCCTGGCTGGTCTACCTGCATGTGCCATCCGACCTCTGCAGCTCATCCAGAATGCAGCGGCTCGTCTGGTCTTCAACCTTCCTAAATTTTCCCACACTACTCCGCTCCCTTCACTGGCTTCCGGTAACTGCTAGAATCCACTTCAAGACACTGGTACTTGCTTACCATGCTGCGAATGGATCTGGCCCTTCGTACATCCAGGACATGGTTAAACCGTACACCCCAGCGCGTGCACTACGCTCTGCATCAACCAAACGACTCGCTGCGCCCTCGCTGCGAGGGGGACCCAAGTTCCCATCGGCGAAAACACGTGGGTTTGCTGTCCTGGCTCCAGGATGGTGGAATGAGCTCCCCATTGACATCAGGACGGCAGATAGCTTGCACATCTTCCGGCGCAAACTGAAAACTCATCTCTTTCGACTCCACTTCGAGCGATAGAACTATTAACGAAGCACTTTTATACTAATAAAGGACTGGCTTATCTAAAGCCAGTTGAGTAGCACTTGAAATGTTTTTGCTCTATGAAGCCTGATGTACTTATATGATTCTGTTTTCTTCAAGTTGTATTTTGTTGGTCGAACGCACTTATTGTAAGTCGCTTTGGATAAAAGCATCAGCTAAATGCAATGTAATGTAATGTAATATGCACTGTACTTCACTTGAATTCATATTGTATGCTGAAAAGTGTATATATATATTACAGCACGATTTTTTGTTGAATAGATTTGAGTGGTTCAAAATTTCGGGTCGCGATTTATTGACAAAGGAAAAAGTGGGTCCTGAGGCCTGACCAGTTGAGAACCACTGGTTTAGTGCACACCTCTGAAAGCCCACTCATCACGCATTATATCCAGTGGTACACATCATTCAATGCATTGAAGGATAACAACATGTCCACTCTATAATGAGACACTTGCCTATAATAATGCCCATGTTGCGGTTTGGATTACATGAAAAAAATGTAAATAAAACTGTGGAGGTCCTGCCAATCTTGCATTGTGTGCATTAATAACATAGCATTTTGTTGCTTTTTTAAATCAACAGAGATTCTCATAATCATGACGTTAATTACCGAGTTACACAACAGAGCTAGAGAAAAACAACTGTGTAAGTGCGACAAACTAACTTTTGTCCACTTTATGCCATCATAGATTTCCTAAATGTATTTCTTAACCATGCATATGTTGAGTCTAAGTGTATACTCTTACATTTCAAAACAATACAAATATGGTATACATAATATTCCCTATACTGTAGGAACTTCATTTTGTTTACGCAGGTCTGAAAATAAGACTCACCCTGAGGAGGTTGCAGGCCATGGCAGCACTGGGCTGTGACTCAGTATACAAGGAGCTCTCTACATTAAGATACCTGCTCAACTTCAGGATAGTGAGAGTCTGATATTTTTGTAGAATTCCCCCAATTGTTATCTGAATCCACTTTTTGTCTGGAATTTTCCCGGTACTGTCAGAAAGGGGCCAGACTAAGATTGGTTCAAAAGACCTCATGAAAGAACAACAAAGAAGTGAGGATACCTGGCCCGGAGGAAGCCCGGGGTCCCCTTCTGGAGCCAGGCCCAGAAGGAGGACTCGTCAGCGAGCGTCTGGTGGCCGGGCTTGCCACGGAGCCCGGCCAGGCACAGCCCGAAAAGGCAACGTGGGCAACACCTCCGCTTCTCCGTCCCGCGGGCCCACCACCTACGGGAAACAGCGATGGGTTCGGGTGCGCTGCCAGAAGGGTGGCAGTGAAAGCAGAGGGTCTCGACGGACCAGACCCGGGCGACAGAAGCTGGCTTTGGGGACGTGGAACGTCACCTCTCTGGGAGGGAAGGAGCCGGAGCTTGTGCGGGAGGTGGAGCGTTACCAGCTGGATCTGGTTGGGCTCACCTCTACGCACAGCGTCAGCTCTGGAACCTTACTTCTGGATAGGGGGTGGACTCTATTCTTCTCCGGAGTTGCTCAAGGTGTGAGGCGCCGGGCGGGTGTGGGGATACTCACAAATCCCCGGTTGGGTGCTTCGTTGTTGGAGTTTACCCCAGTGGACGAGAGGGTCGCCTCCCTACGCCTGCGGGTTATGGGGGGGAAAACTCTGACTGTTGTATGTGCTTATGCACCAAACATCAGTTCAGAGTATACGGCCTTCTTGGAGACCCTGGAAAGAGTCCTGTATGGGGCTCCTGAAGGGGACTCTTTAATCTTGCTGGGAGACTTCAACGCACATGTGGGCAATGATGGAGACACTTGGAGGGGCGTGATTGGGAGGAACAGCCCCCCTGATCTGAACCGGAGTGGTGGTTTGTTACTGGACTTCTGTGCTAGTCATGGATTGGCCATAACAAACACCATGTTCTAACATAAGGATGCTCATAAGTGTACGTGGTACCAGAGCACCCTAGGCAGAAGGTCCATGATCGATTTCATTATCGTATTATCGGACCTGAGGCCGTATGTTTTGGACACTCGGGTAAAGAGAGGAGCGGAGTTGTCAACTGATCACCATCTGGTGGTGAGTTGGGTCGAGTGGCAGGGGAAGCCTCTGCATAGACCTGGTAAGCCCAAACGTGTAGTTCGGGTGAACTGGGAACATCTGGAGGAGGCCCAAGTTCAGGAGGCCTTCAACTCACACCTCCGGCGGAGCTTTTCGGGCATTCCTGTGGAGGTTGGGGACA